TACTTCGGTATACTAATTTAAATTTCTTACGGTATTGCAAACTAAATAAAAACAATTTAGCAAATCTAAATTATACTATTTCGCCCCCCCCCCTTTTTGTGTTTAATTTTAAATTAAATCTATAATTAATAATCGCACATACACCCTCCCAAATGTGCATTTAATTAATCAAATGTGCATTTAATTAATTTAATGTTTTCACAACCCCCCTTTTTTCTTATTTAATTTTATGTTAAATCTATAATTTATGTTCAACAATTATTGAAGAAATACAACCCCCCCCCTTTTTTTCTGTTACTATTTGCAATTTTATCTCATCTTTGTTTTCTCTATATATTAAGTTGACATTGTACTCCATGTATGGTCGGCCACCAAAAAATGATTGCCTCAGTCTTTTGACTGGGTAACACGGTGGTTACTTATTTATTTATCATTTATTTATTTTTAAAAAATAATAAGTAGATGTACTACGTATGTCTACACGATCATACAGAGGCCTGTTCACGAGAACAGAGATTTTGAGGCCGGAAGCACAAGGTGAAAAATAAGAATAATAAAAATTCTTAGCACCAATGAATGATAAATCATAGTTAGATTTATCTAAATATTTATACACATAGAGGGCAAAATGTAATGATATTTTAGTTTTAGACCGTGGATTTAGGGGCTCTCTTAGGGACTCAAAGGGTTTCAAAGACATGGTTCACATCTTAGCAATAGAATCATTCCTAAAAAAATATTCTTTACTGTAAACGTATCACTACATAGGGTAGAAGTACCTACTGTAGGTGGCGAAACACTAGGAAGCTTACTGGGTCACTGGCCTTCTTCTAAATAAAAAAAAATTGAAAAACAAACAAACAAGCACACGCACAACTACAAAAACTGTCTTAGTGATTTAATGTCACTAAAGCATCGCAAAAAATGTTTTGTTTTGTTATTCTTTACACAGCTACATGTTATTACTTAAGTACGGAGAGAGAGAGAGGGAGTTTCATAATATACAATTCGATATGTCACAATCTCATTGAAAACAGTTGTATTTCTTTTTTATTTCTTATCGAAATAATAAGTGAATGTTTACATCTACAAGTAATCATTTAGTTTTGAATTTCCACGTATAGACTACTTGTGATCGCATCCCTATTTTAAAAATATCGAAAATGCATTGTACTATTTTTGGAACAAAATATACTCGTTTTTTAAATCTTTTTTGGTTAGGCTGCTAGCTTTTGCTTAAATACTATAAGACTTAAGTGTCTACACAAACCCACCAAATTGGTTTATATTTAAAATAAAATTCTGGATTTAGAGAAGGGAGTACCTCTCAAAGATTCTCCACCACTAAACTGACAATAGCCAGATTCCCCGTCTTCGATCGATATTTTTGCATGTTTAGCTGGAATAATTCTTGGAATTGGTTGAATTTCTACAGAGCTAATTACGTGTTGGATACATTCTGTAAAGTCGGATATTTTTTCACCTGGACAATGACTTCCATTTCTGGATTTTTTATCCTCTTAATCGCCCTTAATCGTCATTTAAGAATTTGTCGTCCCACGGGTCTCCAACTTAACACGGTAAGAAAGAGAAGAGCCATGGTCATCATGTCATCTATTTCTTTTGTAACCTCGCTTCCGATGCTGTATTTTCTAGGAAGCCGTGATTTCCCATTTGTGTACAAAGGACAACTAATAACCACTACAATATGTACCTTTCGCTTTAGTAATAGTGCAATGAAGCAGTGACAAAATGCTTATTTTGCTTTTGAGATTTTTCTTGCTTCACTGAACATGATAGTGACATGTGGATTGTGCATCCCAGTCGGTGTCATTATATATCGCAGGTTCAAAGTAATACAGCAAAACATGAACGGTTCAACCAACGTTTCATCCATTTCTGAAGGTGTGCCTGTATCCATTGCAAAACGAAGAATATACATAAGTACGCCAGAACACGAGTTATCAGTGATTTCAAATACAGCTGTACTTCCGAAGTGATGAGCCAAAATGAAATGTGCTCAAAATGTACAACAAGCACAAAACCATCAGGAATAGACTACAAACAAAAAGGTATCATCTCTAAAACGCAGGACAATTTAAAAAGAAGAAGGCAAGTTAGGCATAACTTTACACTTATGTTCGCTACAATTATCCTAATTTACGTGTTAGCTTATTTGCCAACACTTGTGTTGTTTATGTTACCTGGAGAGGACCCATCCACGTTTTGGTTTACCAGAGGGGCTGTGGAATTGAACGTCCTTGTGTTTCTTCGGAGGGCCTTTCTTCTAAATAATATTTTAAACCCTTTTATATACACTTATTTTGACTTATCTTTTCGGTGTGAACTTAATAACATTTTATATTTCTGTAGAAAAAAAGCACTGATGATATCCATTTTCAATTGTTTGAAAATAATTACAGTTTTTTATTTTGCAAGTAGGAAAAGTTATAATTGTAATTTGTTTAATTTTTTTAATGAATCTAACATTGTCTGATATTTTGTGTTGTTATTTTTGTTTAATCCTAAAAATAAAAATCATTTTAAAAAAGCAGTTAATCCGTATTTAAGTTCCTGACATGTCCTTCATTCAGAGTGCAAGCAGAGTACTTCCTCCCATAAAACACTACTGCTTAGAATCCTTACTATTTGTACCAAACTTGTAACATTTCTTATAAAAACTTTAAAAAAACAAAATTAGTCTTAAGGTGTATATTGATGTCTTGAAGTCAATTTCCATGAGTTAATGTAGTACAAGCATATTGTAATAATTCAATTTCACATAGTATCATGAAGAGTTTAAGTACTTTTTTATTCATGAAACATAATACAGTGGAAATGATAAAATCGTACAAATTAACATGCATGTTGTAAAGATTTTTAGTTTAATTACGAAAAGATCTAAACTTTTGAATAAAATATAGAGTACATATTGAATGAGTAATTTCAGAGACGATCTGAATTTCAATTTCAACTGTTATAAACACTGAGTCGTGAATATTTGTAAACAAACAGTACGATTTCAGGTGCAGTTACTTCAAGTCAAAAACTTTGATTTCCGGTATGCGGTAAGGCTATGAATCCGCTTCCGTAAAGTAATCCGCAAATTCGTTCGTAAACAACTTGGTACTCCCTGAATGCATTACATTAAATATGATTGATAAATTAAGTAATTTTAAATATAAATATATCTATATTATTCGTAGTCATAATGTGTCTAATTTTTGTAATCTTTTTAAATAAAGATAGTTTTTAATTTAAATTCACATATTTTTAAAAACCAATTTATTCCTAAACAAAAAAAAAATTGCTGTATTATAAATAAATCACGTTATGGTTAAATAGCTTATCAGTTAGGAAAACGTAGGAGAGTTAAGGGGATTTCTTGCGTAGATTGAAATTTGAGATGCTTTATATTTTCCTCAGTCTTTATGTCTTTTCCGCATGTTTATTCCTTTGTTTTGTTTGTTTATTTTTTAACGTCCCTCTCGAAATTTTTTCACTCATATGGAGACGCCACCACTTGCCAATGGAGAGCTACAAATGTTGACCTATACTCGGCACTCAGGGCCATTGAGCAGTGAGGAATCTTTTTCGTGCTAGCACCTACTGCGACACGGGACCTCGGTTCATACGGTCTCATCCGAAGGACTGGTCTCCACGTCCCACATTGGGATTCGAACCCGCGACCTAAGGATCAACTCCTTACTCCGCGACTCTAGAGCGAACGCTCTAACCACTGCGCCACGCGCGCGACCATGTTCATTCATAGATTTAAATTGGATACTGGTAAATTTTATCTGAAAAAATGTTATGAAGAAACGAAGAACAACAAAACGTACTCTTTAATTCATCATATTAAAATGTTTTGAGAGAGAGAGGATAAGCAAGATATCATCTTGAAATATACCAATAAATTTCATACACCGTAAAACTGGCACTTGTATCACCAACAAATTTTAAACAATTTTAAGCATAAAATGCATTCGCTAAAAAAGTATAAAAATCAACAACAAATAAAAGTCAATATTTTTTGTTTAAATATTTTTTCTCTGATGAAGAATGTCTTTTATTTATAATCATTTTTGTTTGCATTAGTCTTCGTGTATAATGCCTGTGACCATCTACTTTTTTCATTCGAAACAAATTGTTTTCAATGCGAGAAGTAAAAAAAACTATGATTTAATTTTAAAAATGTTAATCCATGGTCAAATATAATTTTTGTTTGAAATTTTCTCAATTACATTAGAATATCCTTATACGTTAAGGTTTTATTTTTTTTAGCAATAAAGTGAATTCGCAAAATCTAGAAGCGTAAGAATTAATGTACAATCAACAATCACGTATTTCATTTTGACCTGAAGTTGCAAAAAGTATTCTGCATAAGGTTTTCCAGATTTTTGGTATGTCTTAAAAATACAATGGAAGGGACAAACTTCATGGATATCACAGCTCATTTAATTGATATGTTTTTCCCCACGCACGATATCTCCCATTATTTAGCAATATTTCCACTATGCTTTTAAATAGGCTGCAATACTTATTATTATACAGTCATTAAAGACTTCTAAAAATGACCACAATAGTAGTTTAAATATATTAATACATACTTGAGCAATGCAGTGTCAGGTGTAAAATATCGGTATAAATTAATTTTAATTGATGTTTCATTCGATGCATTAGAATAAGTTGTTTTTCGTCCTTATGTATCGAAATTTATATTACAGAAAGTACACTAGTTTCCTTGTTTACTAAATATACGGATATTATTTGCCTTTTCTCTTTAGAAAATCCTTTCACATATACGACGATGTCACGTTTACATTAGAGTTTCTGTTTACAACCCGGTCAAAATTTGAACTTCCCGGTCACAAGTTGATGACTTTTGATCCGTTTTCAATTTCAAATGATATCTTTCTTCAGCTCAGGCTTTAAATGTACTAAATCACTGATAAAGAAGAAAATTGATTGAATATTTTGCTTTTCTTAAAAGATCAATCATGAACTATACAGCAGAAGATCTGAATGCCGATGTTACAAAAACTCTCTATTTTAACACTGGAATACTACTTTTGTATCTTTTTCTAGGATTATTTGGAAATTCAATTGTTGTGTATATTTACATACGTAGGATGAAACGAACTGACGAAAAGTATTTTATCCCAATTTTAGCCATTGCCGATATTTTCGCTTGTCTTGCTGGCGTTATACTTGGCGTTGTTTCGAATTTTCACAGGGCCTACTATACTTTGGATACCTTTTGTAAAGTAGGATATTTTCTTACTTGGTCGACCACCTCTGTGTCTGGGATTATCATTCTACTTATTGCTCTAAATCGCCATCTTATGATTTGCCGTCCTACTAGTCCACAACTTACTATTACTAGGAAAAGAAGAGCTCTGATTGTGGTGATGATATTTTCAATAGTGACGTCAGCACCTATGCTTTACTTCTTGGGAGAAAGGCATTATCCTTTTATGTACAAAGGAGAACTGATAAATACTACTTTGTGTACCTTGCGCTTTACAGATGGAACTCTGCATAAATTACAAATTGGTTATTTTGCTTTTGAAATTTTTTTGGCTTTGCTGAATATGATTATAACATGTGTATTGTATATACCAGTCGGTGTAAAAATATATCGAAGATTTAGGAAGGGAGGTCTCAAAGCCAAAATGGCAAAACAAAAACCTGACATTTCGAAAGCTCAAGACAATGCACCTCAAACCGAGGGTCCGGGGAAACTACACGTAGAAATGACTGGAATTGAAGAGTCGGCATTTTCAACAACCGTGTCAACAGTCTTGAGTTCAACAGAAGACGATGTATATTGCGGACGATGCAAGTCAAATTCTAAAGAGGATTCTAAACGGGATGTTAGAGACACGTCGATAAACAGGAAGAAAAAGGCGAGGAATAAACAAGCGAGAAACAACTTTACAGTGATGTTTGCCACCATCATCATCTTCTATATTTTAGCATACCTCCCTACTCTTGTCCTGATGATGCTTCCAGGGAGTAACCCGGCAGAATTCTGGTTCTCCAAGAGCCCACTAATGCTTAATTTTCTTGTCTTTCTACAAAGGGCGTTCTTGTTGAATAACATTGTTAACGCTTTTATTTATAGTTACTTTGATTTGTCTTTCAGAAAAGAAGTCAAAAAGATTTTATGCTGTTTTATTTGTTTCTAAATGTTTACCGAAATATATTTTTTTATATAGCTTAAATAATTTTTTTTCTTTATTTGTTTATTGTATTTATTTATTGTTTATTGATTATTTGTTTGTATGTTTATTTTGATGATTCAGTTAATAAAGCTATGTCAATAAATTAGAAACAATATGAAAGACATTTTGCTACAGTTATAGAATAACCTTAATCTTTTATAAAATATTTAAGTTAGAGATGTACTGCAAAAAAAAAAATGTGAATGCATAATTTTATTTTCATGTTTGTCTTTTGTTTGTATTCTATGTAAAGTGTTCCTTTAATTTTTTTAAACAGTAAAGGTAATAAAGAAACATTTTTTTATGTCATCTACATCTAATGATTAAACTCTTTCGCTTCCTAGCTTTATTACGAAAAGGAGATTTTACTAGGAAAACATTAAAATGTCACTGCAGCAATTCTAGGAACAATAACACAATTAGTCTTATGTTATCTAGAAGGTAATCAACTTGATCTTAAATCTGTTTTACAACCGAAAAGTTTAAACATTGTACTTTAAAATGATGATTCTTTTCGGAATGTAGTTACAGTTGTTAATCCCATTAACCTTTTTTCAGTATATACCTAGGGGTATTTCTTGTTCGCCTCACCTAATAATGTTTTGTTTTGTTTTGATCTTCTGACAAATATCCCCTCTACATTTTTGAATGTAATATTCTATAAGATGTTGAGTTTATTTTTAGCTTCATTTCTCCTCATAGTACTTTTTCACAGATATAAGAAAATTTTCCGTCTAACCTTAATGCTTTATGGATCGCTGGAAACAAATTGCTTTGGGCATTTTTGGAGTCATATCGTTTCGTTTGACGGTTTGAAGGTAAAGGGGAAGTTTGAACCTATATTTCGTGAATGCGTCAAATCGAAAAATTACCGTTCATCCGAGTGATTAAGAAAAATAAAATATACAATATTGTATAAAGTCACTTTGTATTACTTCCTCGTACTAATAACAAGAGATCCATTTGCTACAACACACAACTGAGTCACACTGGTCCTGCTGATCTAAAGAAGGATAATTTGTAAAAGTTTTTATCCTGAAAAATTAAGTTCCCATATCCCCAAAGGATCGTGTTAGAACTTAAATTCACAGAACAATGAAGTATTTCAATATATGACTAACATGACCTTCTGGAAAAGATTTTTAAAGATTTTCTGTAAACATGCATAGGGTAAGATTTGATTCCCAACTTTAGCCCAATCCTAACTCAAAGGAACATAATTTGAAAAGAAGAGACTTGTATACAAACAACTTGAGATTGTTTGCGATTTTTTTTAGGACAGCTATTTGTTTATGTTATGTATTTGTTTATATTTCAGTTCAAAGCTTGGTCACCCTTTGTGGCCCTACAATACCCCCATTGGTTACAATTTGAGCAAACTCGAATCTGCACTACTTGAGAATGCTTGCTTATTACTATGATAATTCATGGCCCTGCTGCTCTTGAGAAATCTTCAAAAAGATCTTGCTGTATATATTCCCAAGTAAACACTTTGATCCCTTATTGTGGCTCCACCCTACTCCTTAGTTAAGTGCTGAATTGAATTATAAATGAGCCTTGATTAATGAAATATCTTCTGTGTTACTTTTGAACTGAAAATCATAATGCATCAAACATAATTATTATTTGGGAAATTGAAGTGCTGTAAATATAAAAAAAAAATTGATTTTCTCATCTGACAAAGTTATAAATGATGAGTTAAGTAGTTAGAAAATAAAAATTTTAGTTTTAATGTATCTAGATAAATATACTGATGATCCAATATTTTTTTTTATTTTTGTTTATTTGTTCTTGTTTTGTTATAAGGAGACGATGAGTCGCTCTAGAAATTACACTAAGAAAAGTAGCTCTTTATAAACTTACGTTTGATGAGTCTTCATTCGAATTTTTAATAAATACATGCATAGTATCCATGGTCTCAGTGAATAAGCAAGAATTGATCATTAATTGGAGATTTTACGATGTTATTATTTAAAATAAATCAAGTTCATTTAAATAAAAATGCTTAACTGAAATGAAATACTACATTTCAACTTGCTTAATAAATTCATGGTTGTTAGATATTTTCTCCTAAGGTAGTTATTTAATTTAATGTTAGTAATCAGTGAGCATTGTTTTTAGAGTTGAATTGTCCAACAATGATCCGCATGGAAGTGGTAAAATTTTCGTTTGAATGAAACGTTTGGGTCTCTTCTTTTGGAGTGTCAATTGCTACGTAATAACAAGCCCAATTCTTCAGAGTCGTGAACGCAATTTTCGTCGCAATTGTGGGGTAAAAAAAAATCTAAATAGGCAATAATAATGAAATATTTTTTTGCATCAAACCTTTTATGAGTTAAGTGCTGATCGGTTGGAAGTATTGTGTTGTTTAAAATAATGAAAGAAAAAGTTGTGGTTAGAGATGTAAATTTTGAGATATTAGTCAAAATGTGCGATTTTCAGGCAGAAAACGATGTTAATTTTATCTTGAGTTCTTTAATATATCTTCACGTCTTGGCAAAGCATCCTGAGTGAATGTGCAATTTTTTGTTTTTTTTAAAATAAATTGTGACCTATATTTTTTTTTTATTTCTAGCATATCATAAGAGAAAATATTCTCTAAGTTAAAATATACAAGGTGGTAAATATATAAGATATTAAATTTAACAAATGTGTAGAATTATAAATATCCTTCCACCACAAGAAATAGTCCATCATAAATCTTTATGAATTTGTGAGCAGGTTCTTAATTGAATTTTGAATAATTTGAATTGTTTAAATTAAATATATTATAAAAATTGAATTATAACAAATAGTTTTGAAGTTAAACGTTCTGAAACTTAAAGGGAACTTTAGTGAGGTATTTTCTATTTATAGTTGAAAAACAAATCGTCAAAATCAAGTATGTATATCATTCTTTTGTGGCTAGTTCGATTCGATTGATTGACATATTGTTTAACACCGAGTCGGCAATATTTCACCCATATTTCGACAAATTTCGATTCGAAGTAAGAGCTATGATGATAAAAAGTCAGCAATTTAAATAGTTGTTATAACATGTTTTTGATAACATTATTAAAGTATAATTTTATGGAGGACTATTAATATTTTAAAGACTATCTATCTTCAACACATAAAAATGCGTTCTCGGGGACAGAAATATTGACTGTGTTATCCTCATCCTGCTCGAAATGCTCGTAACATATTAAAATCAAACTGGATTAACTGGTATACTCAAAGAAGATGCGTTGTACTTGAATTATACTGTGTCATTACATATGTACCCTTTTCTTAAGAAAGAGATTTCTGCAGTTATCAACTCACATAAAAATGGAAGACTGACAGAAATTTGTTTTTCAAGGATACAGATCTGCATTTAATGCAATTTGCGACGGTCTACTGTCTATGAATACATCTCCGTAACAATCATCCATTATCACATGGAATATCAATAATACGAAATCCTATTTTAAACCTATTAAAAAATATTTTTGTATTCGATATAACTAATTGTCAAATTCGAATTCATATCGTTATAACTTATTCGAGAATTTGTTTTATAAAATTAGATCTGTTATTTCAAATTTTCTGAATTCGTTATGACAAAGTTAATGTGTTTTAGAAAATTTGATGAATTCGTAATAAAAAAAAAATCTTAAAGTAGTAAGCAGCAACTCGGAATGGATCTTCAAATTGTAAAATTATTTTAAAAACTTTTTTTCATAATTTTGATATTAGGAAGAAGGTCTTTCAACAATTGTCCATCAACTGAAGATTGCTTTTAATAGATCAGACGTAATCGTATTTAAGGAAGATTTGAAGTTCACGAATGTAGATTTGTCGTTATTTTTGGTCTTCAAATTTCACAAAAAGGAGAAATAGTACATATTCAATAATATTTAAGTTATTCTTTTGCATCCATCTCATTACTCTTTATCTATGGTAGATACAATGGCCTTGTCAGGAAATACAATCTTTCATTAAGGAAAATGCTGACCGACTTTTTTCGTACTAATTGTTAGGCCATTATTTACACACTGAATTGTCGACGTATTTTTCCCTTATTTCCCGATCATGACAAGGAGCACACGGCAGGGGATGCTCACTCCTCCATGGCACCTGATCCCACCTCTGATGTCTTAGAGGTCCGTGTTTGCTCTGCTCCTATTTTGTAATGTTTAGTGGATATTTGAGCTCGAATACTGTTCGTTATCTCCACCTATTTCATTTTAAAAATCTTAAAATACGTGAAGAAAAGATTGAACTGTTTGGGAGAGAATGAGAGAGAAAGGAAGAAAAATAGGATCTTGTTCAGTGTGATATTGTGTAACTGATTACTTGTGGATAACCTCTTATCTCTTATCTAATGCGGTTGTGGTTATTATCTCATTTTCTTGCTGCTGTATAGTGTACTTAACCCTGCTTCTGGTTGTGTACTGTACCCATGGCCATGATGGTTGTCTGAACAAACTGGACATAAACATGATTCATTAGAATGAAACAATGTGTGCCCATTTGTTACATTTAACTTACAAGATGCAACTTAATGACTGCTGTAGGAAAATTAAAGTTTTCAACTTATAAATCATATAAGGAAAGAGGATTTTGATATTGATATCAACTTATAAATCATATTAGGAATACGGAATTCTATATTGATAGATTAAAAAAGTGATACTGGTGTGAGATATAATTCACTGTTACACATGTGATTATATTTCAAAATTTCATAATTTTAGTTATTTTGTACAGGAATTCATTTTGGTGTCAACTCCAACAAAAAAGTTGGCAGATGTTTATATCATACCGTTCCATCAGAATAGGAACATGATTGCTATCGATATGTCAGTTAACAATACTACATAAAAAATCATGAGAGCATATTCTGACAAATTTAAATCCACGCCAACACATTCCTCTAAACTTGTTGCTCTTCTTATGGAGATAGTCACAGTAAATGTAATATATATATATACAGTCTAACA